CATAGAAAGGGTGGTTTATCTTTGTGAAAATTGTAGTTTGAGAGGAGCTGTGTTATTCTCTCAATTTGCAGAAGGGAAACATAAATTGAGCAACAGAAGAATAAGGACTGGTAAATGAATTTCTGGACTTGTTGATTCTTCAGCAACTTAAAATTGTATCAGCAAGCATTGGTCTCTTAGGCTGTTGAATAAGATACGTGCCTGCTATTGCTCCATGGGATGGAGAGGTGTCTTCTATTCTTCACTTTTCCTTCTCACCCTAGTTGAATCATCAGGCAGATCAGAGAGAATTTTGTTGCCAAACTTGGGTGCACAGAAAGCTGTAGATTTCAGCTGGCCAGTCTTCAGTGCAAGCATATTTGTGTTTGTTGCTCTTGTCCTCTCTATGTACCTCATCTTTGAGCATTTAGCTGCTTATAATCAACCGGAGGTATATTATAATCTTCCTTTCCATTTTTCAAAATTTTTTTATTTTATATTTTATGTTACCCATTATTATTACGTTCTATGTTTTTATAGAGGTGCCTTTGCTATTTTAACTTCAGGAGCAGAAGTTTTTGATTGGACTCATTCTGATGGTTCCTGTCTATGCACTGGAATCAGTGAGTGTATTAAATATTTATTTTTCTTCCCTCATCTCTACCTGTTTTGGCATCGCATATTAATATTTTTGATGGTGATGGTTTACTATTTATTAATGGAAATATGTATTTGATTGCATTTGCAAGGATCTTTTTGCTTGCAAGTTTTGCAGAGTCATTTTTTAAGGCACTTGACTTTTTGTTGTACTTTAAACATTGGGACAGACCAGATTCTCTTGTCATTCATCTACTAATTTTTGGCTTTTATTATTATATATGGTTCTGACTTTACAACTTGCTTTGTTGTTAGATTTAAAAGTTTTTCCATTCTAGCAGCAGTACTTGGTGGTATTATACAATATTGTATAAAACATTGGTATCTTGGCAACTGATTTTCTAGTGAATTTTATTAATTAAATTTTAGGTATTGTTTCAGATATATTTAACTTTTTATGGACTAACAGTGTATTCTGGATTTTTAAAAATTTTTTTGAAACAGTTTTTATCACTGTTGGATTCAGATGCTGCTTTCAATTGTGAAGTAATTCGGGACTGTTATGAAGCTTTTGCGTTGTACTGCTTTGAGAGATATTTGATAGCTTGTTTAGGTATGCTAAGAAGACTGAATGTTTCTTTGCTCATTGATCTACTAATAGTTGTTATGTCTTGAATGTATTAGAATAGATTACTTTTCATAAAGTATCTTTCAGATCTTCAATATCTTTTTTTTATTTCCTTTTTGTGTAGGTATGTGTGGTTTGTCCTTTTTTGTTTTGTCTTTTTATGTTTTCTCATTTTTGGTTATGAATAAACTGTGCAAAGAAACCTATAAGGACCACGTATCTGAAGAGTTAAACAATCATGATGAGCCTTGATGGTGTTCCGAGGGCTTGACGAGGGTGTGATTAAAGATAGGGAATTTGGGACCATATAGATGTCTTTTAAGTCATTTTTCAGTTGAGTCTGGTGAGATGCTCTTTTAGTCAAAAATATACCCTCCTACCCCTGGAAACCTTTGAATTAGGTGGCCAATGCATTTAGGGGGCTGTCATCACAAGTCAGACTTGAAAATCCTAGAAGCTTCTTTTGGGTTTAATGAACTGATTGAGGGACTTTTCACTATTTGTTTGAAGCCATTGCATGCTTATGTAGGCTGTTTGTGGTTTGGCATTTGTTTTATTGTTAGCGAGAAATATTTGAGTCTGCCTGTTCTGGCTTATCCATTGTAGTTATCGCTGTAGTTCATCTGGTAAGTCATTTACATCTCTACATCATCAAGGGAAAACTATTGCCAGAAAAGTTAAAACTGAGAATAGGTAGTTTGACGATTTATTTTTATTATTAATATTATGTGTTTCTAATTTTTACTTTGCTAAGAACTGTACTTGGTAGGGATCTTTTTTCTGACGAATTACTTCGTAGGGATCTGACATAACGGAATTCTTATGTCTGAATAATTATGCTCTCATACGCAGAATTCTTTTTGTGATATACACTAGCCTGTTGTGTGCTTAGGGACATATGACAAGCAACAAATAGACTGCTTAGTTCCTATTCCTTGGCCTTGCTTAATGGGGTCATAAATAAGTGTTGCAGTCTCTGGCATGGAGTCTTAAATGATAACAATTGGGATGTCCTGACTCCTGATGGGGATAAGGTTCTTCCATGTTGTATCCACCCTTTTTTTCTATTTACATGTCCTACTAATACCATTTTCAGAAGACAAAACTATGCATTAGTGTTTACTCTTTTTCACTACTTTGATCTTGCTTGAAAAATGGTGTCTGTAGGTGGGGAGGAACGTACAATTGAATTCATGGAAAGTCAGACGGTAATCACTTCCAGAACCCCTCTTCTAGAAGAGGCATATGCATATGGAGTTGTAGAACATCCTTTTCCATTAAATTGCTTCCTGAAGGATTGGTATCTTGGACCCAAGTTCTATCATGCTGTAAAGATTGGAATTGTTCAGTATGTATGTATTTATGTTTCTGAAAAGCTTTCGTTGGATTATATGCTTCTTTTGAAATTTTACAGACTTTCCGGTGCTTATCAAAACATCTGTCTTTCAGATGATACTGAAGATGATCTGTGCATTACTGGCTATGATTCTGGAATCCTTTGGGGTTTACGGAGAAGGAAAGTTTGAATGGAGATATGGGTGAGATATATGCTTCCATTTTTTGAGAATCTGAGAACTTTATCGCACATTTATGACTGACTTATCATGGTTGGCTATGGATTTTAAGTGCATATCTTTTTAGTAGTCTTTTAGTTTTTATCATCACATGCTGACCTTAAGCACTGTAATTTTGTGGCAGCTACCCATACTTGGCTGTTGTTCTTAATTTCAGTCAGACTTGGGCCCTATATTGTCTCGTACAGTTCTATGCTGTTACTAAAGAGAAGTTGGAACCAATTAAACCATTGGCCAAGTTTCTGACATTTAAGTCAATTGTATTCCTGACTTGGTGGCAAGGTGTTGCTGTTGCATTTCTTTTCTCTATGGGAGCTTTTAAGGGGTCATTGGCTCAGGAATTGAAGACACGTATACAAGACTACATTATCTGTATTGAGGTATATTATTAAACAATATATCTTTAAGTATGGGTTGTTTGCAGCAAGATCTTAGATAATTCTTTCTTCTTTCTTTCCTTTACTTGGCAAGATGTTGGTGTTACTGAAAATGAACCCAGTCTAGCATTTAAGGAAGCAATGATGTTTGAAGGTATTGAAAGATTTGCTGTTAGAGTAAACAAGACATTATGTCACTCTACTTTTCCCCATTTGTTTTGTTCATTTTTGGATGTTATTTTAACCAGTTCTACCCTTGGAATTTTTGCATAAATGTGGCTGTTCTCAAGACTGAATCTTCTGTTGAAATTTATGTTGCTCCAACTCTTTGTTTTTCCTCAAGCACCTGTGTTAGACATAGATCCAACACCTCAACATAGGCATGGTGGTAGGTTTTCGTGGCCCTCCAATTGTAAGAGAAAGTTTAGAAATAGTTGGACACACTCATCTTGAACGCCCATGTCTGACACTCCTGATTCTAAGCAATGCAGATTTGAAAGGCCTGTATTAATTTAGTACCTATAGCATTTAGATTTATATTTGAGGGAGGGTGTTTCTGATAAGTCTAGATACTGTGGATGAGTTATGAGGATTTCCTGACACTCTGTAGTTATGTTCTCATTTGGGGAAAAACATTTTTTGTTTCTTTTGCCAATGTTATTTTTATTTTGAAGTTTGGAGTGATTCATTTGGGGGTTTCTAAACTAATGTTTGGGAATTAGATGGGAGTCGCTGCTGTCGTGCATCTTTATGTCTTCCCTGCGGTACCTTACAAGCGTGGAGAAAGATGTGTTCGTAATGTAGCTGTTATGACAGACTATGCTTCTCTAGGAACACCACCAGATCCTGAGGAGGTCCAAGATTGTGAAAGATCTACTAGGATGCGCTTGGGTCGACATTATGAGAGAGAGAAGCGTTTGAACTTTCCCCAGAGTGTTCGTGATGTGGTCTTGGGGAGTGGTGAAATCGTAAGACTCTAACTCTCTGCATTTTTGGCTGTGTATCTTTTTTATCTTCCTGGTTTTCCTTTTCTCTTGGGCGAAACTGTTGTATTGTTACAAGTACATTTTCCTGAAAAGGGAAGAATAACTTGTACTTAATATCTGTTCTGACTTTGTGAATATTCTATCATATTTCTAGATTGTTGACGACATGAAGTATACAGTTTCACATGTTGTTGAACCAGTTGAAAGGGGAATTGCTAAAATAAATAAGACCTTCCATCAGATATCTGAAAATGTGAAGCGCCATGAGGAGGAGCGAAGGAGGAGCTCTAAGGATGATAGTTATCTTATCCCCTTAAATTCGTGGAATAGAGAATTTTCTGAAGCCCAAGATAACCTTGTTGAAGGGAGTGTTAGTGACAGTGGTATGGCGAACGGGAAGAGACATCATGTCCAAGCTAAAGCAGTGGCATACAGGAATAAAACTGCCAGTTAATGTTTGCAGCTGCTTATTGCTATTGGAGTTGTTAAAAAGGTATTTTAACATGGTTTCGGGAGAATGTCAAAATACTTGGCATGTATATGCAAATTTGAATCTTCTTAGAATTTTTTTTTTTCTCTTGCCCTTTTTGAAATTCTGAGTTTTGATGATGACCTGTTGTTCCTAGGGTGAAGAACTTGGGGGACAAGACCTTGATGCTTTCTAACATCAGAAATGTATATAGAAGACTCTGACTAAGCTGCAAAATTTTGCTGCGGTCTAGTCTGGTCAATGTATACAGAATATACGATTCTGAACAGCTGAAAATTATGTTATATATAAACCCCATTGTAAAAGCAAGAATTGCAGTGTATTCTTTGGTATTATACATGGAAGTTTACCTCTCAATGTTTTTGGCCTCTCCGCATCAAGTGTATGTATATTTATATTGATTATTAGGTGTAAAAGACGTAAGGTATAATATTTGAGAATTTTTTTAAATTATTTAAAAAAATTTAAATAAATTTTTATTTTTATTTTGTTATGATCAAATAAGTCTTTATATTAATATTTCGGATCAAGTAGAATTTTATGATTAATGATTAATTAATTTTATTAATTAATATATTATTTGATATTTTATATTTAAATGATATTGATAGAATGTAACAAAAAATAACTATTTATTTAAAATTTTTAAATAACTCAAAATTTTTTGAACTACTATATCAAAAAATTAAAAAGAAAGATGAGCGTTAATAATAGCTTATTAAGTTGCCACAACTGAGTTAATAAGGTCTATTATGATATTTAATTTTACTAAGCTTAATTGTAAGAATATCCATGTAAATTATAAAGATCTTATACTATATGATTATACATGAGTATATTTGTAGAAAAAAAAACTTTGCCGATGTGTTCCTCTTAAGACATTACTTGCTATTCATTTTAGGTTAAGTGTTTAGAATTATTTCAATTAAGGGTCAAACGTTTTAATTGTAATAATCAAAAGTCAAAAGTTTTCAATTTCTTATATTGAAGGATTAAGTTGACAGGTGGATGAAATGTGTATCATACGTGATAGGAAATTGCGTGAGTTGATGACATGACAACTGACTTAGAATGTTATACAAATGGTGTTGTTTTGATCTAAATCCTATGTCTAATTTTCTCTCAAGTTTACTCGTTTTATTTTATCTCCTCTTCGATCCAGCTTTTTTCTCTTCAGAGATGGGCACATGCACGGTCATCAATAAGGCGATACCAACTTTTGACATCTAACATTATGAAATAAGTTAACTCATGTCTAAAGCATGTAAGACAAATGTCTATCATTGTTTTGATCAAGTTCATTGGAGACATATTCCAACATTGTTTCCATGAATGACACGAGTAAGGGGGTCAAAGTTTTCATGCCCTGCAAGCCTTGGGCTACTTCTCAATTGAGTCAAAAATTCAATGAAAAGCATCACTTTATAGTTAAACCTCTTGATCGAATGAATGATTTGGATATGAAGTGTTAATTATTTTCATTAGATGTTAACTTATTAATGATTTGTATGAAGTGTTGCTAATAATTTGTACAAAATGATATACTAGGATTTGTATGATTTTTTGGTGTTTATGGATTTCCCTTGAGAATATGCAAATATGTAAGAGGCAAGGTTTGTATAATGTGTTGTTAAATGTTATTGTCGAAAAAGTTGTTACATGGCACGTCAAAAAAATAATATTATTACATGTCAATTTTTAAATATTTGTTATACTGACTTGTTGGGAAATATTGTTGTTGCTTTTTGTGGAAAAAATGCAGTTAAGGCTGTAGACACCCCAATTCATTCGGGTGTAACAAGATTTTCAAAAATAAAATAAAAAACTATGAAAATCAAGAAAATGAAAAAAGGAAAGAGAAGAAATAAATATAAAAGATAAGATATGTTTATGTTAATCCTACTTTTAGATTAAGTCTAAAAAAGAGATTAAGATTGAATCAAAACTCAAAAACCAATTCAAGTAGAAGTGTAACACATTAGCTATAAACATAGCCAAGCCTCAGATTTTTAGATGGAAAAAAAAAAGAAAAAATAATTTTGAAATTTTGAAATTTTCGATTTTTTTAGATTTAGGAAAATTGGCTTAGTTTCTAAAGAAACTATTCCAATCAAAGGGACAAGAGCACTAAGAGAATTTTTTTGAGAAAATTTGATAAAATTCCATCGTTGGTGAACGATGGTTGATGAGTGTGATCGGTGACCAAAATCTGAGAAACTTAGAGGTTTCTTTTCTTTAAAAGGAGAAGCTCTCAATTAGAGAGAGAAGAAGAAGTGGGAAATAAAAGAAAAGAAGGAAAAGGAGATTTTATATTAGAAGCAAAATGACGTAGTTTTGTGTCAACTAAAAATAAAAAGTTTGTAGATTAAATCTCATTGATCTAGTCTACTCTTGTTATTTTGGCCCACTTCAATTTATTTAGGTAACTTTGACCCAATAGCTTGGTTTTCATTTTGAGTTTCTCAACCCAATTAGGTGAGTTTTTATAATTTTTTTTATTTTATTGATTTGTTTTTAAATATCTTGAAATATTTTCTTTTATGATTTATTTACTTAGCTATTTATTTATTTATTTATTTTGTCTTTCAAAATTAGGAGTTACTACTTGATTGATAGAAGTTTTCCAATAATGAAACCTTAAGAAAATCAAAAGTGGCTTTTTGAGAATTTCTACGTGAGAGAATTTTTCAAAATTTTACTATGAGCGTTTGAGAGATTTTGGAAAATTTTTAAATTAGGAATTTTTATTTCAAAAACTAATAAAATAAAAATAGAAAAAAGAAATAAATTAAAAGATAGAATTATACAATTAAATAAATAAGCTTTCCAATGATGAAATTTCAAGAAAACCAAAAGTGACTTTTTGATAATTCTAGGTGAGAAAATTTTCTAAAATTTTACCATGAGCATTTGGGAGATTTTGAAAAATTCTCAATATCAAGAATTTTTTATTTATTTCAAAAACTAATAAATTAGAAATAGGAAAGGGAAATAGAATTAAAACATTAGACTAGATTTTAGTTAATAAGGCTTAAAGGACATATAATTGATAGAGTATCAATTAAATGGGCGTTATGGAGGTGCTAATACTTTCTCCACACGTAAAGAATTACCAAACCCAATTTGCTTCATAAACTAGAACCTATTATTAGTGAGCCTTAAATCAAGCCTAGAACTTCATAAAAAAATAGATTTACTTAGGTGGTCAATCACACTTAAACCAAAAAGATTGATGGCGACTCCAAGTCATACTGTTGAGTTCCAAGACTCACCATATTATGATAAAGGTCATGTTAAAAAATATAGTGTTACATACCATGTTTTAAAATTTAATTGTTATACGTTATATTGAAAATTATTGTTACATGCCATGTTGAAAATGTAATTGTTATACATCATGTTGAAAATTTAGTTATTATATGTCATGTCGAAAAATGTAGTTGTTATACGTCATGTTGAAAAATGTAGCTGTTACATACCATGTTGAAGGTTTATTGTTACACACCATATTGAAAAATATAGTTGTTACACGTCATATTGAAAATTTAGTTGTTACATAACATGTTGAAAAATTTAATTATCACATGCCATAGTGAAAGCGTTGTTACACGTTATGTCATAATTTGAACTATTTTGACTTGATAGAAAAGGCTTTCTGATAAAACTACAATTTTTTATCTTACACGATAAGATGTTTTATCTTCTTTTAATTTTCACTAACAAGTGTGCACCCAAACTATAAATAATAAATCTATTTGATGTTTTGATAACCAATGTCCTAACATGTGCTTAATAACTCAAAATAACTAACCTTGTGTGGGACAAATGTGAAGTCCTCTACTAAACGATTTGCATACTTGAGGTTTTTCTGTCCCCCAATTTAAGCACCACCATAATGAAACCTTATGATACGTAATTGATCAACCATCATGTTCAAAATATAAAAAATATCACAATTAGATAATTTTTTTGAATATGGCATCTAATAACATTATTTTTCAACATTTGTAATAACCTGCTACATACTATTACCAGTTATCGCAGAGAAACTACATCCCATTTACAAACTTTATTACATGCCATGTAGAAAAATTATCAATGGTAACTCTACTGATGACAACTATTAAAGATAGAAAATGAAAATGAATATGCAAGGCATACCCAACTATTTTTGGTTTAGCAAACGACAACAGGAACCCACAAATAGGTGATGCCTAATAAGTTGATGGCAACAGATGCTTCGCTGGATGGTGAGACAATGGAGAGGAAAAACATGAGAGGAGAGGAGGTAAAGGGTGGTTAATTTGGGTCGATGGTAGGGGTAGAGTTAGCCAACTTTTATTAGAGGGTCAGAGATAGACGAATAAGGGTTAAAAGTTTTAAAAATTAATATATTAAACTTAATCAACAATCAAAAGATTGTTAATAAAAAATAATTTTATATAAAATGTAAATCAAGAAAAAAAAGACTTACAATAGCTTTTTAGGAAAGTTGTGTTTGACTATATTTTTTGAATTCAAATTTATCAATTAAAAATTATGTACTGAAAAAATCTATTTCTTTAGGATTCAGTGTTAGACATTTTGATTCACATTACTTTTGTCCATGAATTAAAGTATTAAGACTTAATGGCTCAAGTTAGGAGAATCATTTAAACGATTTGCATATTTTCTTTTAAATAATTTATTAAATGTTTTCAACTTACTCATACTTTACTCAAACTTTTAAAAAAAATTAATACATTCAACATCCAATATTCTTTTTTTATTTCTATTTAAACTTGTAATACTAAATATTAAACTATAATGTATAAAATATAAATAGTTAAATATGATACACAAGATTAATAATTTTCTCTTATATAATTAAGATTATTTAAAGACTATATATTCAAGATAATATCCTTTCAACTAAATATAAAACGCAAAACATATAAAAAGATATACTTAAGATAATTTCTTTTTACATATCCAAGATTACTTAAAAAATGATACATTGATAAAATTTTAAGCAACAATGCAACATTACAACTTATATTCGAAAATTATATAATAATTTATTAATTTTAAAAGATTAAAATTATGAAAAATAAATTCAAATAATAGAAAAAAGACGAACATGATAAGTAGAAGATAAAACTCACATATGACATAACAAAAAAAAAAAAGTTGAAGGTTCATAGCAATTTGAAAAAAACTAAATCTATAGAAATTTATAACATATGAGCAAATAGTATAAAAGAATATAAATAAAAATAATTATATAAATTAAAAAATAAAAAAGAATTTAAAATTTAATGAGGCA